TGAGCATATGTCTGCGTACATATACGCGATTTTATGCTGACTCAAGCGCCCCTGAACAGGTCGCTCTACGCAACTCGCCGCATCCTGAAGTACGAGTATTAAGAGCGTCTTCATTCCATATTCTGCCCCTGCGATTGTAAAATTTCGCCTGGGAGAGACAAATACCGAGAAACATAGTGGCAGATAGAGATGCGGAGAGAGAGAAACAAACAGAGAGACAGAGAGAGAAAGGGAGAAGGAAGAAGAAAGAGATGGTGGGCAAGACAACGTCTTCCGGGTACCGGTAGTGATTCATAAAAATGTTTTATAGATAAATGTATAATTCATATTGTTACGAACAACGCATAAAAGGAGTATTCAATACAAAAAGGTTCTGTCAACAGAAACTTGTCGTATTTTATATTTGTGTGCATCAAAAATTTGTTGATGCATTGCAGAAAGAAAATGAGTGCCAGGCATAAAACTCCTCGAATATACGAAAGTGATACGGCAAAAAGAAAGGTAGATACTGAAAGCCAAAATCAGAAGAATGTCTCTCTAAAGTTCTGAAACTAGAAACTAAAGTTAGGAAACTATTTTTCGAAACAATCGCGTGTTGAGACGATAACAACACAAACCGAAACTAATGTACTGGAACAATAAGATTTACCAACTAATTCATCTCATAGCCCAACATTAGAATCAGTGTACAAGAAAATAGTGATGTAAAATTATCTTCACATTTTGACTGTTCAGAATTAAATTTACAGTCTGAATTAACCCTGGATGCTAATATTCGAAGAAGCGGTTTAGAAAATGTTATTGGGCTTTCTCCTCAAAACACTACACAGGCAATTAATCGATTACTCGGCTAAGAAAGATTTCATGATTTACTAAATTGTGATGAAAATTTATTCGGAAAATCAGAGTAACAACAAGTTCAGGGGAGTCAAGCTATAATCGAAAATATTCAACTGGAATATTTTTCAAGAAAATCTACTTAATGAAACTGTTCCCTTTTTTGGGTGTGTTTTTCTTCAAGCACTGGAAAAATTTATTGTTATGTGTGCAAACTGACCGGTACTCAAAACTCTAATCTCAGCAGCTATAATGACTAGAAACACACATTAGTCAGTTTAGCTTATCACGAAATTTCTAAATGTAATGTAGGATTTATTACAGCTTTAGGAAGATCGTTGTGAGCTACAAAAATTAAAATATGATTTCACAAATCAATATATAGAGATCAGCGATTACTGCAGTAAAGTCCTTCAACGAGTTACAGACACAATAAAGTTCCTAGCCGGATTTTAGTTGTCATTTAGTGATGAAAATGAACTGACTGGATCTCCAAATAATGGAAAATTTCGTCTAATCATATTGAAAGACATGCAAACAAAGGAATAAGAGCTGTAAATTACTATTTGTCCTCAGCAATTTGTAAAAAACTTATTTATATAATTGGTAATAAAATGCTTCAGTAAATTATAGAGATTGATAACATCAAATATTAGAGTATCTGTTGACTCTTCTCCTGTCGAAGGTCATATTGATCAATTATCGATTATACTTATTTACTTGGAAGAAGATATGCCAAAAGAAAGATTTGTTGTATTTTTACTAAATTGTGGTCATACCGGTTCCTTTATCGTAAATGCCTTGATCCGTTTTTTGTGTGATAATGATGGAGGTTTAAATGATTGTCGTGGTAAGTCGTCTGACAATGCGTCAAAAATGTCGGACAAGGACAGGGGAATGAAAGTCATTATTGTAGAAAAATGATTTTGCATTGCTCGTTCCATGTGCCGGTCATTCGTTACATTTAGTTGGCAATGGTAAATTCGTGTTTAACAGGTGACAAATATTTTTATTTAGTTCAAAATGTATACGTATTTTACTGGACCTGCTGAACGATATAATTTATTAATGTAAACTTTATCGAAGACTGGAATGGTTCATGTTCTTTGTGTTCCTATATGTATATATATATATATATATATATATATATATATATATATATATATATAAGTACGACATTGTACAATGTACAATGATTAAAGAATTTTCCTTTTATCAAATTTTACTCAATTTCCTACTTTTTGACTACAATTTTTAAGAAACTTTTTCAAGTATAGAAATTCTTTTAAACATGTATTTAGGGTTAATGGCTACAACTTGTAGTGGCGAAACTCAAGTTAGTGAATAAGTGATTGCGCACAAATATGAATGAAAATCGTCTTTCTCGCCTTATTCGAATGCGTTTAGAGCATGATGTTTTACGTGAAATTAATTGCAATGATATCATTGAAAAAAACGCGTGGAAAGTTCTTGTAGCTTAGATTCTTATATATAAACTAAGTGTACATTGTTTACTATCTACAGCGCTACCACATTTTGTCAGCCCAGGGGCCCCCTTTTACTTTCCCAATTATTATACGTAGTATACGGAAAGTTATGTAATGCTGCGGAAAGTCGATTGTGATATTTCAACGGAAATACTTGTTTTCGGGTCCCCTGATAGGGAAAAGTGTTGTTTTTTAAACGTCCGTCTGTTCATCCGTCTGTAAACACCACTAGCGCGTAAATCATACGTAATATTTTTTCCGAATTGATGACATCTATATCCATCTGGCTCGAAGCTTTGAGATTATGAAAAAATCTTTAAAATTTGCTGTTTCATTCCATGAAGCCCTCCCGGACATTTTCAAAATTTTCTCAAAAATTGGTCCAACTTTTTTCTTTACGTTTCTTGTAAGAATAGAATAAAATTCACTTATCAAGGTAGCGTAGGTCCTATTTCCAGGTTTAAGTGTAAATTTTCTGTTTCATTCTATGAAGCCCTCCCGGACATTTTCAAAATTTTCTCAAAAATGGGTCCAACTTTTTTCTTTAAGTTTCTTGTAAGAATAGAATAAAATACACTTATCAAGGTAGCGTAGGTCCTATTTCCAGGTTTAAGTGTAAATTTTCTAAAATTCCAAAATTGCTAAATTTTTCGGGCGTCTTCCTACAAATACAAAATTGAACAATAATATATATTATTTAAACACCTAGCAATATTGTATATTGAACAGATAATAAGTATATTAAAAAGGAAGCCGAACGCTTGTTACAACAATTAAGCGACTTAAAAATTAATCTCAGAAATACAATGACAATTGAATGTTTATTCTTCTATGCATTTTTCTCAATAAAAACCAATTTGTGACTTTATTATTTACTTACGTCACAAAAAGTTGAAAACTGGGGGGGGTTACAGAAGCGATACAAGGGGCCATTTCAGCATTTATTCAAGTATCAGGGAAACTGGACAAAAACCCGATCTAGATGAGGTCATTGACCCAGCAGCTGAAGTACAATGATTGTTACAGGTTCTTCAGAATTATACAATCCAAATAGTAAATAATACACTACATGTTGTTAAAATTAATTATACTTTCCTTTTGGATGCTCGGTATAATATCTAATTGTATAGAAACAGTTGTATAGAAAGAGACTGAAAAAATAAATTAATAATAATAATAATAATAATAATAATAATAATAATAATAATAATAATAATAATAATAATACATTTTAGTGCTTTGGTAGAAGTATTTATGCACCTGGATACAGCGAAATGCTGTTGGATGAGCGACTAATTTTGACAGTTCTCACATACTGTCTCTTTGAAGTACTAGATAGATTGGATAATAAAAAAAAATCCTCTCGTCAAAAAAGAAGAAATTTCCACTTCTTATTCTATTTGATTATTAATGAAAACTCATGAGGGTAAAGGTACCCCTTTCAATATTACAAGAGAAATTGGCATTTGAAAATTATGTAGTCATCAAAATGACGAGTCTCATCCTTCCAGTGTGAAGATATTTCATTGTTAAAATGAGATTAGCAGTAATTAACGGCTAAATTTTCCTAATTTAATTGGGCAAGAGCTTAATACAAAAGCTTTTACCAAAATTAAAGCGGAATATTACGTAACATAGAACTTTCAGTCTACACGAAGAAAATAATTGCATTTTTTTGTGCAAAATTGTACGGTAGTTATCAGGATCAATATTAATACAAATAAATAACAAACTTAAATGTTTTATAGCATATTAGTGTTCTCCAGAAATTTTCCAAAACTTGATTTGGATCAATGTGTAGCTGCACAAAAGCTCCAAAAAGGTACTACGCAAACTGACTCGCACACGTCTGTATAGAAAGTAGTGGAACTTCAGACTGACTGTGGGGCGAAGGTAGATAACGCACGGCCTTCTGGTCAACGGCGTTCAACGAAGGGATTCTTCGTCTTTAAATTCCTCCGAAGAAAAATATAGTTTCGTACAATTCGTTTCATGACTTTTGGCCAGCTTCTTGCGACATGTCCCCAGAATGCGCCGGCCTCTTGGCCTGGGCTCCTTGAAAACAGCCCTGGGTTGCCCTGACATCCAGGATGAAGCCTCGCGCTCTGCAGGTTGCGTAGTGAGGTGGAACGCAAATCAGGGCGCAGTGCCTTTGAGCCACCGAGCTCCCTCACGCAGCGGCCGCCGCTTGTCACAGCACTATCGGGCTACGCGCCACCCAGCTCCGCCACGCTCACAGCAAAACAGACACCCACACAGGACACTCTTGCACGCACCGCATCTCATGTGCTAGTGTGGTCTTAAAATCAGTGTCAGAGAGGAACCTTCATTGTTTGGGTTCGAATATGATTTAGTTGTATTGTCTGTGTTTGATGTCATATCACAACGAGAAGGAAAATTGTTAATGTTGTTGGGAAAAGATTCAAATAGGGAGCTACGCTTGAATTGAAAGAGCCTGTTCCGGATGAGCCGGCTTTTAAATATTTATTTATAATAATTCTTCGATAGTAACTCGGGTATTTTGAAATGTACCGTTGGTAAACAGCCATTCATCTGGAAGTGTGGAGAGAGGGCAAAGAAACCGCCTCGCTCCCCAAAGCTCTCAACATTTCAACAAAATCCGTAAACGTAATTCACCCGCCACCCCTTCCATGTAGGTCTTTTTCGTGCTTTGAGATGGTTCATGTCCTCCAGCTGCTGCTGCTGGGAGTCCGCGAGTTCAATTTCTGTCAGGGGCCAGATATTGGCTGTAGGTGTTGAACAGAAGGGGGTTTGTGGCGCCCACCGGATTTGAATGCTTAGTTCGTCGTCTTTGATTGGTCTCCGTGTTTCTCTCATCACTTTCAGGCGAACGCCGCGCCGCTGCAGCACCTTCTATAAATTACCCGGCGGGCCGTTGAAAGGGATGCACGGACGCCCTAACATTTTTTTAATTCAGAAATGTTTTTCATGTTTTTTTAATTGATCAGTTTTCGCGTAATTTCTGTTTGAAGTTAAGGCACTTTATAAAAAAACATTTTTCTCATAAACGGCTCTATTGTTATTTCTTTTTTTCGCGGATAGAGCAAAGTACGCTGAAAAAGGCGCAAGTCTATTTTTTGTCGAACTCTCCCCCTCCTATTCTCACACCTACACTTCTATACGTGCCAATCACGTTTATTGTCAGCACTTGAGCGGCAGTGCAAAATTAAACTATTTATCGCCCATCTAAAAATGTTTAGAAAGTTAACCTAAATTTACCAAATGCTTAATGCATTATTATCTGATTTAAATTGTCTCATTTATTTAAGGAGTCATTTTAGTGAGAAAAAAGCTTTTACTGGCATTGATTTTGTAGGAGTAGGTAGCCAGAAGGTTCTTAATTGTAAATTACAAGAGCTAGGATCATGGTAGGAAGGATTCATTATTAGATTTATTATTATTATTCGTAAGAAGACATAACATTGTGTTATTTAATAAAACAAGGTATGGCTTAGTAATATTTTACTTTAATGGAATCTATTTTTTACGGAGTGCAAGTCAAATTAAATAAAATTTCGAGAATATGCAAGAAGTTTAATGGACAAAATCGATAGCAAGAACTTTATTGGTTTCTTGCATATCAACGCCCAGCTGTAAATTCATATTGTAATTCTCTGTATAATTATACTGTAATTAATACACCTGTTCATATTCAACCTATGGTGTCGTTTCGCTAAGATATTTAATTCGAACGCTGATAGTTTGAGCATCATAAAGATGTACCGAAATGAACTCAAAGCCTACTGAATTGTTTCAAATGGTGACAAATGTCCTTTATTACTCACGGATGAAAATGATAGGTTTATTAATTTTTCAGCTCGGAATTGCTTTTTTGCTCGGGTAAGCTTGTTAATAACAAAGACAATAATAATGAAATGCTCTTCTTCAGTTTTGGCTACTGATACAGAATAAGGGAAAATAATTGTGTTAATACCTGTGAGTAACGAAAGTATCCGACAACGGGTTTAACAAATTGTAATTCTTGACAAGCAAAGTATATTAAAATTTGAAATAGATGAAATGGTAATGTAATGTAACTAATTATTGGCTCCCGTCCTCCATTTAACAGACAGTGGAACGCAAAAGACAGTTTTATGTTCAACTGACATCACCTCACCCGCGTTCGTATCTGTCTAAAACTGGTTCCTATAATCGGAATCCGTGGATGCAGCAAGAAATTAAAATGCGCCGGTATTCCTAACCCGCAAACAAAAGTCTACAAACGCATATTAATTCAAATCGAACGCGTGCATGATCTACGGGAAAAGGAATTGCTCCCCAGAGTACCTCTCTGTCAAGAGCTGTACGATAAACACGCTTGTGGCGCTCCCGCTGGTGGCGCGCCTCGTCTGCTCGCCCTCATTCTCCCTATGAAGTGATCTATGTTTATCTGTGAATAAATGGCGAGACCATTAGAATTTAAGCGTTCGGCAAAGTGAGTACGGCCGAGCCACTGGGTGGTGTAGCGGTAAAGCAAATGAGTTAACTCGATAGACCTGGGTTCGAATCTCGGTGCAGAGAAAACAGTTTTTCCTGGATGGAAACATATGTGCAGGTTCTTGTAGTAGTATATTATATCGGAGCCGTTACAAATAATGCGAGAAAGTCTGTGATTTTGGAGCTCTACTAGTTTAATAGATTATTAATGTACTTAATACTTTACAGTACGACAGCGCCAATGAATTTCATTCTCTTATAGTGTCCTGGCGAAAAATAATGTTGAGCTTTTTCGTTACAGAATCGAATTGACTTGATTTATTTTGTCAACACTGTAAGGGACACTGTACAGTAAACGCTGTAACTGACGTATGTGGATAAATACAATCTGGTTACATTTTCTTGATCTCTAGAATCTCTTCCCATCGTTTTACTACTGACGATGAATAACAAAACCAACAAAGCGAGGTTTGTAACATTTAGAAATTATTAATGTTCGCTCCCAGTGTATAGATATATTATTTGCATCGGTAAACGAATTTAGAATTGATTTTTGCTAACTACATAGCAACCCACATACCTTTCTCTACTTCTAGCACAACTAGCAAACGGAGTGACGAACCAAAAGTGTTTACAAAAACCGATCCTGAATAGATGAATCCTGAATAGATGTTTTGTTAGTTGGGAGTTTTGCCTTGTACTGGCATGGTTGTAAACACACTTATGATAATTTGCACATTAAAGTACTCAACTTTTTCGGTAGTACACAACAGATCAGGGAAATTTTCGTAAAGAACTTTCGAACAATTCTCGTATAATTCGTACACACGTGAACGTTCTTTACAAATACTACAGTAAAATGGTATATATATATATATATATATATATATATATATATATATATATATATTATACTTTAGTACAAAAGTTCTGTACATACCAACAAAATAAAAAACTATGGCACGTTCCTTAACAACACGCGTTAATACTGAACAGCAGGTCGATATTTGTTTAGATAGTTTCTTTGTGTCGCATGACGTAAGCAGTGACGCAATCACCACCGACTATGCGCAGCATGAGAATGGACAAAGTAATATATTCAAATATTTTCATTTTTCAGCCAAAACGAAATTGAATCATTGTTTTTGTATTTCTCCAGTCTTTCTGGGTATCTATGAAACCATTGACATCGCCCTCAAGGCCAGAGGGTGTGTTGTTCTCTCTCAATTTCTGCGCGCATACGACGTATAAAAATACAAAAGCATCGTTATTACTAATCCCTATATCCCTATTCGAGTAAAAATATTGAGAGTGCTATGTGCAGATGTGTGCGATTCAGCTCCTCGCGGGTAGACCACTTCCCGTGCAGCAATGGAGACCTATCTGATTTCATTCGACACGTCTCGGTCTCCTGATGAGGAACTGATAATTTGTTTTCCGATCCGGCTAGAAGATTCAAAGACCCTTCCAAAAACTATTTTTTGTGTTTTGGCGCTGCGATCTTAGTGATAATGCCTGGAATTAAACCAATCGATCTATGTAGATGGCATTGATTAAACACCACGACCGAAACATACGCAAAATACGCGATAATTTACCTTTCACGACGTTGGCAACACTGATGTTAACATCTTTAAGCGTACAATTGAATTACCAAGTAAATCGCGCTAAAGATTGATTTCGATTCGAATTATCGTATTTAGAAAAATAAATTTGCGAAAACCTACGAAGAATGCCCCGAAAAATCCTTCGAAGAATTGCCCCGGAACTTATTAAACTTGAATTTCAAGTGAATTCGGCGAAAACAAAACTGTGAGTAATACTAGAGACTGAGTGAACGTTATGTTCGACTTCTCACTTTTACGTTCTTACATAAGTGCAAATACCGATTTTCAAATGAATGTGACCCACAACTTATGTTTATTAAACTTAACTATCACCTTATTCACATAAACATACAAAACAGTCGTCTTTTACTGTTAGATTTGCATGCAACCCTATATTCCATAAAAAAATTATAAGAGCAATTGCTGAAGAAGAAGTGAACACAAATTAGACCGAGTTTGTGAAGTTTGAATCTCTTCAAATATTAGGGGAGAAAAATATGGAAGTGTTAAGGAAATCCGGGGAAGAATCAAATGTAAACTATGTTGCGACTGAATTTTCGTGACTAATTGGAAATGATATGCTTTTTTGCATTTAGCATTTGTGGTAATGCAAATGTGCTACGTGCATTTCTGTGCATATTAGCAAAATAGCGAAAAAAATATGCTGTACTAAAATTTAACTATTAGCATCATCAACACCTACAAGTAATTGTTACGGCAATTATAATTTTGAAATTTCAATAATATCAGTACATAACCCGTATGAAGGTACCGGATAACATACAAGGCCATTGGGTGTTAGGAACTTTTGATCGGGATTATAACATTATCAGCTACTACGATTCATTGGTAAGTCCAATGCCAAATACTGAAAGAACATATTTGAAGAAAGCTGGGCATGAAAGAAATTTTTAACCCAAGAAACTATTTTTAAAGCAGTTTACGGCGTCGGCGACGCCACATTTTCTTTGTTATTAGTAATAGAGATGCTTTTATATTTTCTTCAAGTTATTGGGCATCTAATGAAATCATAGGCACCTCTCAACATAGAGAAGCATCTCTACTCGTATTACTAATTAATAAGAGGGATGCTTTTAAATTTTCCCCGAGTTTTTGGATTTCTAACAAAACCATAGACACCTCCCACCGAGTCGTAGTCCAGTTTTCTTGCAATTTCTGCGTGAATTGGAAATTAATAATACTGGTTAGTAATATTTTTGCATTTTTTCCGGATACCTGGGTAGTTAATGAAACCATAGACATCGCTCACGTGACCGGAGACCGCATAGTTTCCATTCAGTGTCTGGGCGTATTGGAAATCAGTAATATTGGTTAGTGGAGGTTTCGCAAGTTCCTGGGAATCTAACGAAGTAGGGACGCCTCTCACATATCCAATTTCCTGTCAATTTCTGTACGTATTGGAAATGACTCATATGGATTTCACCGTTCAGCAAACGAACAAGTAAATGCATATACTTTACGAGCTGTTGAAGCTATCCACATCTGTTAAAGCGTGCATCATTGAATTTCAGTCAATTGTGGAGTAGTTAGGATGTGGAAAATGTGAGACATTGCCCATCTACGCAGATCAGTCACGAGAAAAAATCAGGGTAACTGTGAAGTAGTAAGTGAATTGTTAAAAAGACGAAAGTGAGAGAATCGATCATTCAGAAGCACAACAATATACTTTCTAAGAGATATCCCGGACTTCCACCTCCCCACTCCACGAAAATAGGAAACATTTGTCCTTGGAAATCCATGACCTCATGATCTTAAGTAATGGACACGAGTAATCTTCAAGAAACAGTTTTAATTAAAATTCGCTTTATATTCGCAAATCCTGGAGAACATAATAAAATAGTCCGAAGTAAATGTTTCATGTCCATAACTAAAAATTGTAACTAGTGTTGGGTAGACTGAGTCAGAACGTTACGTCAACACGGTTAAGTGGGGACGTGTTTTGTGGTCGGTTGAATCCGTTTTCCACGAATCATACATTCGTATTGGACGAAGGTGACTCGCAGGAAAACAAGCCAACAACATTGTAGTTACAAACGTCATGCAAAAACTAACCACGTAATGGTTTGGGGCCGAATTTCAGTATACCATATTTTTTGTAAGCGTTTTTAATTGTGGAAATTGTTTTGTAGTGCTCTTAGAAAAGCCCTGGGCGCTTATCCCTTATCGTGTTTCACGCGAATGAATCGACTCCCTGCCATGAGAACATTGAGAACGTCAACTAGCGAACTTGCCCAACGGGCGAACGAAATGGCGTCTTTTAAGCTTTAATTTTTTTTAGTCCCCATCGCTTTGCGGGTTCAAATAGGTGAGATTCCGGTCTTCAATCTCCGCAATTAACATAATTTGATCTACATCTTAATAAAACTCTAACGTTATATTCCATATTGTCTCTGAATCAACGTCGTTTCAATCCTTATTTTTTTCGATTGATTGAATATTGTTTCTGGGTATCAAAACTGCTATGTCTTTTAGTCTCGTTAGTATTGTGAATGCTTGCAGTTGACGGTGTTCAGTGGTGCAGATGTCGGGACAAACTCTAAGCTCCCTATTCTACAGACATGTGTAGTACTTATATATTGTAGTGTGTGGTGCATGATGTAAGTGTAATTCTATGTAAGGAAGGGGAGAGGATAGGGTAAGGAAGAGGATGGAAAGATCGCGCGCAGTGCATGGCACGTTTGTTAAGGTACTGATCCTACCGTTGAGAACAGCCACCTGCCAGAATTCTCCTTCAGACAGAGGCTGAATTCGACCTAGCTGAGATGATTTTTGACTAGTTTCCTATAAGTCCGATGAGTATATTTCAAGATGTATTCTTGTTTGCTTCAGAACATGGCATTTCTCAAAACTCTCGAGAAATTAGTACGACTTATTAATATGAACGGATTATTATTTTTATCTTATTTGTTTTTATTGTGCCCAATGGAGGAAACAATAACAACCTGAGTCTGTAGACGAGACCGGGCAAGTGTCTACGAGATGTGCAGTCTGCCGCGAGAAATGTGTGGTACAGGAGAGAATGGGGGAAGAGGCTTTGTCTCATGTCAACGTTTCTGTTCCAGCGGTGAAGTTCGGGCGCATGTCGAAGAAGCAGCGGGAGAAGGTGGAGGACGAAGTGCGCTTCCATCGGGCCCAGCTGCGCGCGCAAACGGAGACAGCCCCTGACTCGTCCGGCTTCGACCAGCAGATGCCCTCATCATCGGACCAGTTACACACGACTGCCTACAACGGCAGGTGAGCACGTCTGGAGAACTCCAGTCCAAATTATATTCTATTACAAATATCAAAATTTGTGTTCTACTTTTCATACTGTTTTGGCATAAAAACATTGTTCAACCATGTAACAGTAGGGTATAAAGGCGTTAACTGAACCAGGTAAGCATCTAATTAATTTATTCTAAGACTTACATCAAAATAAAAAGGATAATGAATTAACCAATGATTATAGCGCAAAGCAATAATAGTTAAAGAATGGATACATGCGATGACGACATTTTGAGAGTGAAAGGTCACATAAAGGTATTTCAGACCTCTTAACCTCATTGCAAACGTAAATGTTCCGTAGAAGCACATATTTTGAAGTGTAAGTTTCGAATAAATTCTCTAAACCCTTTTATAAACAGAAATTATAGTTTCTTTCTGAAATAAACTAAAACAGCATTCACACTAATTAAAAACCAATTTTATATCTTATTTTGTTGTCACCGGATCATTTACTGCCATCGGACCATACGCAATTGCAGTTTATATAAATGTATGTTTATTACAGTTACCCGGCTTGTCCATTTTCAGGCACAGAAGTTGGACGAAAAAGTATTGATTAAAATACATTATCAGCCAATTCTCTAAGCAAGCTTTCTCCATTTCTTCTGTATTTCCGCCTTCGTTATTGTTTCTAATTTCTCCTATACGTAGTATGGAGAAAGTTAGGTAAAGCTGCGACAAGCTAAGTTGATATTAACGTAAATACACAAGTTGGGTCCCCTGGCACTGAATGTTTTATTACTTTTTTCTCCTACAATTCGTGAGTTTGTAAGCATGCATAGGATCTTTTCTAAAGCATGCATAGAATCTTTTCCAAAATGAATATCCTTCGATTAACCGGCCTTGACTCCCTGTGAAATTCAAACAAATATTATAATTTTTGAGGGTTTAATGAAGCCCTATAGATGTTAGATTCTGTGTAGTGGTATGGTCGGGGCTTTTACACATCGCTAGGTATCAAGTAAAGTTTCTTCTCGTCTCTTCCCTAGCACTGGCTAGAAGTGGGTAGGGCGATGGCAGGGGTTGCTGGTCTGTCTGCCGAATAGAGGAATAACATCGCGGCTGGTAACAAAGCATTGCTTTAAATGGAGGTCTTCCTACATGTGACGGATTCGCGCTGCTGTATCTTTTGGCGGCGAATGCTCGCCACGAGCCGATCGGGGCGGCGTCCGTGCCACCGCTAGCAAAGCATTGGTGTTAAAATGGTTGTTTTCCCACTGCGGCATTTTACCTGCTGCGGTGCCTTTTTTCGTCGTCGGCGAAACCTCCCCCCGCAGAACCCTCCCCCTTCCACGGCGGGCGGCGGTGGCCCCGTGTGAAGTGCGTTGTCGCTTATCGGAAGCGCGCGGCAGTGTCAGCGGAAGGGCCCCTAAAGCACTCTCCATGGGTCCACGGAGCACGTGTGCGCTACCTGTTCACTCTCTTTCCTCCCCAACTCTAAAGCAGTTGTAAAGTGTTGCTATTGACCCATGGGTCACAACGACTGTTTATGAGCGAGCTGTTATAGGTCTATGGTCACGGTGTGAAGGAGCAGGAGGCTGATGTGTGTGCATCAAGGTGCCAAAGGGAAGTGACAAATACTAAGGGCAGAGACTTTATAAAACAAATTAATGTCTTCATGTGTAGCGAGTCTAACAGAAATAAAAACGATGGAGTTGGGTTGATGGGAAAGGTACATTCTCGCAGCATTTTTGTGAGTGTATTCATTAACTTCACGATAGAAATGAATTAAAAATTTCAAACTGAAAGACTTAAACGTTCTGAAAGACCACTCCTATTAAACGACCATCATTCTCAATGACCGATTATTCTTGGAACGCAATATGAAACCCATATATTGAATGCAAATTACACCCATATTAACAGACAACTCCTCTCCCCGATCACCGCCCATCAGCCCCTTAGCAATTTTCTTAATTTCACTTTTTGGTATTTCACTTTGGTAACCCACAATATGAGTTTTTCTGACCAAAATACGCCACTTTTTGTGGGTGAACTCTAAAACCACTAAGCCAACTAATTCAGATGCTCATTTTGAATGCGCAAAACAAAAACAGAAGAACATAAGATCCTGGTAGTATTAAGACCACAGACCACGCACCTATATAAGCAGCACGTTCGATTCTAGTTTAAACGTAGTCACACAGAATGTGCAATGTGTGATGTATGTTCGTATTTGCACTTGCAAATACAGTTCAGTAAACTAACAAAACGAGAGTTCAACAAAAATCAGACTTCCGCTCTCCTTTTATGCGTCGCTTGTGGGAAAAAATAAAGAAAACTAGTGGTGCTAAAGCTGTACGTACTTTCTCTCCCGCATTTTCACGCAAAATTACGTGAAAAGTACTCAATTTTCAAAAAATTGTACTTGAATTTATTTCAAAATTTATCTTTAACTGATGTTATTAAGGAAAAATAATTGTAGTTGTAGGAAGACGCCGAAAAAATTTGAACTTTTGCAAATTTCGAAAAATCAAGGCTTTTAACGAACATAAGAACTACTCCATTGTCTTTAACGTCTTTTACACTATTCGACAATAAAATTTAATCAAAACGATGAAGCCATTTTTTGAATAGTAGGAAAATATCACAGGGGATTCATGTAAAGTACTCCCCAAAATTAAAATATCGGTTTCAAATTAAAGGGCCAGATAGATTGGGGAATATCACTTTTGGAGAAAGTCGGCTGCTGAAGAGTTAGGGCGCTAGCGTTCTTCACTGACGGACGGAGAGTCAGACAGACCGACAGACGTTTTGTTGTCAATCGATTTTCTCTAACAAGGACCCACAAAACATGGATTCTGGTTACACCAAGTGTTAGAGGATTTTTTCTAAATTAACCAAGTGGATTTATCCACTTTTCCGTTCGAAGGGCTCGCCAATAAAAGTTGTTCTGACGAAAATTCGCCGTTTTTTGGCGCAACGTTACACAACTTTCTCTTTACTCCGTTGCGAGTGTGTAAAAATTGGAGCGGTTTCTGAAAATTAAAAGAAAATATTAGCTTCAAGCAAAAATTTCTCGAAAACTACTCGTTTTTTCACATAGGTATACGTTCTCTTTTGTTTATAATTGATTTTTAGAACAGATGTCATTGAAAACAAAAATATCTTTCTTCAATATTGTACATTTTCAATGCCAACTTTTCAATTTTCGAAATACAGAGTTCGTCGGAAACGAGACCCTGTGAGAAAAAAGTAAAGAAAAAAGTGAGAAAAGCGCGGTACCGCGCCTGACAGCGAGGAGAGCCGGCTACCGGAGCTGCGTTTCCAGCACGGACCGCCTCTACCAAGCGACAAAATCCAAGCTCCAAGTTCTGCTTCGCTCAGGCGAACTTTTCCTCAGCGCGACGCGTTTACTCATCGCAGGCAATATAACCTCGTTCGAAAAGTATTTTGTTAATCGGGTTGGAGCATATTCTAGTGAGTCTTCACACAAGCTGTCTACTCATATTTCATACTCACATACTTTTTTTTACACCCTGGTGAAACGTGCTGCGGAAATCTTTACAATCTCGTTAAGATAACTAGTTCTAGATCCTGACATCTAGAGAAGACAAGCACACAGAGGTTTTTGAATTTGTTTAACGCGCGCGACCTTTATCGTAAGCGCTATTAGAAGAGCTCAGCCCGGTTGACGCCGTGATCGGAGCCTTTTCGGGCACCGGAGAGCACTGCAATGCATCAGTACATTGTTTAGCAAAGCGACGATTGTTCTAAAAATAATATTAATAAAATTAAATTATTGGCGGTGGGCGTTGTGCTACAACGCCCCTCCGGAAGCGCCTGTGATATCTGGCTTGTTCTGATTTCTTGAGCAGAAAGAAAAAAATATTTATCTACTTTTTGGATAGTATCAGAACTTTACAATTCGAGGTTTTCTCACGCAAAAACAGCTTCTTCCACAGCATCATTACAATACTTTCTCTTTCCTACGTGTAATATTGTATGTGTAAATATATATTTTTATTTCCTTGCCGTACTTCGTAAGAAAAGAATGTCTGGCAATTGTGCGCCGGAAACGGCCAGTTTTCTACAGAAAAGCTCTTATTGCCTGGCCCTGGAAACAAACAATTTGATAAATCACGTTTCTATTTATAGTAAATTACTTCCTCCTGTGTAGTTAGAATCCATGTTTTGGGTGTTCTTGATACCGAAAATCGAATGATGCAAAACGATCTGTCTGATTGCGTCTGTCCGTCGGTCTATGGTCAACGTTAGCGTCATTATCCTCCATTTTCTTCAAAGCTGATAATCCTCGATCGATTTGAAGGGACTCGAGCCCCTACGAGACTGAAACGGATATTTTGGTTTTGGGGGTACTTTAAATGAAGTCTCAACATTTTCAAAATTTTCTCAAAACTGACCCCTAATTTGTTTATTAAATTTTGTCCTTGGTAGGTAAAAAGGGCGTTTAAAAGAATGGCGCAGGCCTGAATTTTCGTTGAAATCCTGGAGTTTTAAAAAAATTTCCTTTCTGTTCAGTTTTTCATGTTCAAGTTCACTTTTTTCGGCATCATCCTACAACTACAATATTAAAATTTTTCCTTAATGGAATATTTTCTTCAAAGACATCTTCAAATAAGGTCTTTTACAATATTTCGAAAATGTGAGTAATTTTCGCATAATTTTGCGGAGTATATAGCAAATTTTTAAACAATTATTTTCTCAAAAATAGTTCCATTTTCTTTAATTTTTTCTTCATGTGTATCAATGGCTAGTTAAAAATGGTGCTGGTCCCATTTGCGGCGAACACACTGTATTTTCGGAAATTGCAATCTTTAGAAAACACAAAAGTACAATATTCAATATACAGAGTTTTGTTCAAAATGAAATATGTTCTAAAAAATAGATGTTTAAAAGGTCATGTAATATTTTTTGGGAAAAACGCGCTTTTCATGTGTAATTTCTGCCTGAATTAAATTCAGTTTATAACATATTCTGAGTATTCGTTTCAATTTTTTTCTTTAAAAGTTCTCCTCGCATGTATCAAAGGATAGTAAAATAGTTGTTGCCATCCCATTTTCGAAGAACTCTTATGTTTTCTAAAATTGCAAAAAAATAACTTTGCAAAAGTCCAATATTGAGGATAAAGATTTTTATCTCAAATGACATATACTAAAAATTAGATCTTTAAAAAAATGTCATCATTTTTCCCATGGATGCTGCAAAGGTCTCTTTAAAAACTCGCATGCCTATGAACTCTTCTTCTATGAATTATCAGAAATGTTCGTGTTGGATGTAATGACCGAGACGATTAGTTTTTTAAGCGGCGTCAAAAGGCAGTGTAGTAGAGCTTGGTGTAGCGGTAAGAAGCACAGTGGATTAACTCGGTGGACGTGAGTTCTAGTCTCGGCGTAGGGGAAGTTGTTTTGCTTGTTGGATACAGTTTTGTTGGTTTATATAGTAGTACAATATTGCGAATCGATTAAAAACAGTGTGTGAAAGCATGTGCTTTTGTAGCATCTCTAGTTTCTTACACGCAAGAAAATGCAAAATATAATCTACATATAATACAAAATAACCATGAATCATATAGATAAATGCCAACTTTTCTCTGTTCTTGGGTCCTAACCGATAGTTTTGTTGTTTGGAAAAAATGAAGAGTAGTGTAGTAACATCTCCGAATTTTTCTTTTGTGGACAGTGCCCTCAAAAGCAATTTTGTTCATCTTTTTACCCAAAAAACACAAAAACGAGCCCGTTAGCGTGAAAAACTGTAAATGGACTGTGATTTTTGTCTATTTGATTCGTCTAGTGGTAGAGGTAAACGTTACTTTGGCGATTGAAGAAGGTCTCTAGCAGTTATTTTACTGTAAAACGTAAATTACCTTAAAAATTGCATTTAGTTTGTTTTTTTTTTTTTTCAATATTTTGAAAATTTTTGGTTAGTGAAACTGGTTCAAAACATCAATATAAATGACAACGTGAAAGCGAATTCAGAGGAATACGGTGATCGATTCCACCGGAATATCCGGAAGTGAAACGCTGCTAGTCACGGCAGTACAATACGCTTGGGAGTCTACTTTTGTTCGCTGATCCGGGTAGGTTGACGAAAGTACGCTAGAAAATCGCCATTCTCGGTCACTTTGGGGGAAAGCTAATAGATAAATTGATCAGAATACGCAGAATAATTTTTATATATATATAAATTAGTAGACCCAATTTCAGTCACAATTTCTGTAGACCCAAAGACACAGAAATACATAAAGGGGGTTGGGATTTGAGTAATATGTTTTTAATCAGTAAAGAGATTGTCAAAACTCTTAAAAAATAGACAAAAGCAGCCCTTAGCAACTTTAACTCCAAATTCTATAAAATAAATGCCTAATTAAAATTACCAAAGCTCTTGTGTTTCATAATCAATCAAAAACTAAGAGTTAGCAATGCAGAAAATAAAATTAGCAGTTCGTTTACCGTTGCAAAATCCTTTTCTATAACCCCGGAACGAAAATGTATATTCTTTCAAATGTCGCTAATCTCGCGCTTTTTATAATTTTATCTTTATTTATTTATCTTTAACTTTTACTTATCTTTCAACTATTTATAGTTAAAATGATGGGAAGGAAGGGAACTGAAGGAAACGTGCGCATATAATCTCCCCCATACGTCACATACAGTTTTTACTGTTTTTTGACTAAATAAATCTGTTCTAAGTACACGTAGAACTAAAAATAGAATCTATTCAATATTATATTCTCAATATTTCATAAATGTTATACCCCCAGAACTCCCAGTTTCTAAAACTTATTCTCTCACTTACAGACATCCACAGAGAATTAACTCGCGCTACTCCAGAGACATTCTCAAGCCTACTTAACTATCTGATAATATAATTTTACCCACGTACACAAAACTATGCCACGTCACCAACTAATTCTTGTTACGTCATGGTGTTCATGAAAATCGAACCCACTTAGTTCCGGAACGTACTTAGTACCGTACGTGCCGGAAGTGTGTTGACACTTAGACCTGAAGATAATTCAGCCTATACTGTTATGTAAACCTTGTATCAACACTCTTGAAAAGCAGAAATGCGGAGTAAGAAGTTTTTTTTTTTTAAATGGCCGAATTCTGCTTTCACTGGCTCCGTTCTCACAAGGCCGTGCCTTTCCCAAAACTTCAAGATTCGCAACCGATGCATCTCATGCAAATCTCATGCAATTTCCAAATAAACTCACTTTTCGAAAATGAAATAATTATTTGGTAGCATTAGGGGATACTTAATGCGGAGGCGTGTGCTCTGCCACTGTGATCGCGTGCCGAAGGCCAAACGCGGCGCGGTACACGATGATACACAAGTTTCACTAAAATGTCAGGGAAGAAATTGATCAATAACTTCGTGTCGACTTCGTTCTGGACACCGAAGCAATTTTGTTTAACACTACTATCATGGTCCTTTATCAACTTAACAAATTTGGTTGTCGAGTCATTACATTTATAACATTGCTAGATTATTTTATAGATTCTATTTATATTAACAATCTAAATAAAAACCATTGAGTGGAAACGTTTATCATTTAATCACTTCATATTTAACAATTTCACAATAGAAAATGCAAATGATCAAAATTGTTTAGCAAAATGATCACCTGGTTTAATCCTATTGCTAGCTTTAATTATTAACTTGATGAGTCTCGTATTCTTATTGAGTTGCCTCTTTTTTATGAAGAGAGCAGTCTGATGCTTTCGGCTATCGTTGTTTGTGTATGTTTGATGTTTTACATAAAGAATTACTTACGTACTATTTTAAAACTAGTTAATATGTATGTACATTGAATATTCAACAATTCAACGTGTTTTACTCCTAATGGAAATCAACTTTTCTGACATTGTGTTTCAGTTACACCTATGGAGGTGACATGAGTGGGTACGGCGCGGTCGGCAGTGCAAGTGGCGGCTACACGGGCGGCGGCGGCTATGGGACGGCAACGCCCGTCCAAATGGGCTACGTCATCAGCGCCGATTACGTAGACAGCACCACCACGTATGACCCGCGTCCCTCAGGCCAATCGCTCGATCCACTCTCCGGAGCCCCTGACTCGGCGCTAATGGCTGGAGGCGTTACTACAGGTACCGATCTGCACCCTCTCTTCTTACAGTATTCCTGTTTTCAGTAACTAATTTAGAAACATGCGTATGATCACTGCCAACTGAAGTAAATCTTAAACAGCTAATTTTCTCAACAAGTTTCACCCTTCAGCTTTTCTCTCCTCTCCTCTTCCCTTCCACCTTCACCTCTCCCTATTCCCTATTTTCACCTCACACATGCGCCATGCACATATCTCTCCGCCGTCACCTCCATTCTCCAGTTTCTTTTCAAGTTCCTGACACTATTTTTGTTTCATTATTGTTATTCCTACAACTACCACAACCACTGCTGCTATTGCTCTACTGTCTCTCTGCGTGTTGATTTTTGTGACCTCAAAGATCTTTATAGAAGGTGTTACACAAGGGAAAGGGGATTAGATATAACCAAGCAAAAAATGAACTGCTGTGCACTACAAACGAGGAATAGACTTAATTTTGAACGAAAAGTTCTACCAAAAGTAGATAAACAAACAAAATAACAAGAGGTGGGTGGGCGTCGGCAGCCTAAACAAGAACAGGGCTCAGCTACACTTTTGAGCCCTCTTGTCACTTTCTTGCCTGGTACGTACTTATGTAGTCAATTCTTTTCTCGCCTACTACGCAGTTACATGCTAGTAGGTAGCTTACTGTGCACTAGCGCCTAAACCGACTTCCTACAAATACAATATTGCAGATAGAGGTTTTTTCTGATAGAAATATGTTCTTTAAAACTAGATCTTGATGTATTATCAAAGGATATCTTTGAGATTTTTTTAAAATTTTGCTATTGCAAATATTCAAGATTGTTTTTAAAGCGTCGGGAAGTTAGTGTTTGCCTGTGAGCCTGGTGGTGTAGGTTACGTAAATAGCGTGCTTCGCATAGGAACATGAGTTCGAATCTCATCATGTAAAAAAAACTGCAAAAAATAGCACATCCCACTAAGGTCAAGGGCCTCCTGCTCACGCAAGGAATTATTAACTATTCTTTAATGACGTGATAGGATGATTATGAAGGATGAAGGGACGATCACAAATACAACCATGTCCGAGGTGGGATTCGAAACCGCGATCCTTGGATTCGAGATCGCCACGACATTACTGCCTTAGCGATCTCGGCTATCCGGATCGAATTGAACCACTTACAGGTTGGAGAACATTTTCTGCAAATGGATACCCATTCCCTAAATTCTCAGTATAAAAAGTGGTAAACAGAGATTAGACATATTTACGTAAATAAATAGTGTAATTACGTTAGGTTACGTGCGCTTTTTTTAAAATTTGCAAAAGGGGGATAGGTATGGCCCCTCCTCTCCCCTGAGTGTTCGCCTATGGATAGGCAACAATAACAGTTCTGTTCAATATTGGAACATTAGATATGTGCGAGAATAGCAAATATACTACACGCATTTTCTGCAAGTTAGCGTTTAAATTCTTTCATTTACAGAAATAGGGCAAGGGCGTGTAATTTGGGACATACACTGCACGGTTTTCTTCTGTACTTGTGATCCCTTCCGCGGAAATAACTTCTCTTGAGTCTTTGCTACCGGCAAATCGTGAGGTGTCTTCGTCATTATTGCTTTGAATCTTGATGAAAGAAGTAAGTGGTTGTTGAAGCAATTACATATGACAACAATTTGGAATTGTTTTGTAAACATTCGTTAAGCGTTGATAGACAAAACTATCACCAACCGTTAAGAAAGGTTTTAACTATAAAAGTCCTAAACCATGAAACTGTAACTCTTAACTAAGCAAAGATAAAGCCAAAAACCTACTCTGAGGTCCTCTGATCGCCCCCCCCTCCCATTGGTATAAAACTGTTAATACGTTGGCAGTGTAACGTTCTGCCCAATCGAATGCCAATCACAACTTAGGATCTGCATCAAATTCTATACCTTATACTGAGGTTACTTTGCACATATTGACTTTATTTTTCTGTGAAAATGACATTTTCCATCCTCATATACGAAATGCTACTGCAAGAAACGTGATATTTCGATAGAGAACCTCGTTTTCTGGTTGATCTTTATTTTATTAACCAAGTATGCTCATCGGTGAATAATTTCTTTTCTTTTTTCTTTTCTTTTTTCTTTTCTTTTCTTTTCTTTTTTCTTTTTTATTTCTCTTTTAGAGATCTCAAAAGTCATCTTTCCATATTTGACTTCAAGATGTTTTCCTAGATCCTCTATGTTATCTTTTTGTTTTATACCCTCAATGTTCATTTTGTAATGACATGGTGTCTAGAAAAACATTTCATGATTTTTTATGAAAATGAATTAGTTTTGAAATACATTTGCTCTATACCTTATTTAAAACTCTGCAAAATATAAAATAACTACTTTGTTGCAAATATAAATTAAATGTTAAAACATTCTTATTGTTTAATAGCCTACAACATTTGGCATTACACAGTATGTTGACCAAAGTGGGCCCTTTTCTGCAAAGTACAGTTCCCTTTCTGCCAATAAAATGTCTTTTTTAAAAGATGTGTATGTGGAATATTCCAAGCTCACTCTGAATTTAGCACTTATGCTACTTCAAATATCTCTTCTTTTTCTCTCAATGTGAAGAGTCTGGTGATGTGACAAAATGGGATTAAAACTCTGTTTCACTCTATATTTCCAATACCACAGGTTACATATGGTATACATATATTTAAAATTAATTTATTTAGCTTTGAAGTAGATTTCTTTTTATTTTTGGATTGTTTTGTTTAATGATTTGTTGTATTACTTTAGAAGGTTTGTATTGCCTCAATCTTATTAGGTTTTAAAGTTTTAGGATAATTATCCAGTTGCATTATTGGGAATTGAAGTAAGGTTCAATTTATTTTACCTTTAATTAGAAGATTGCAGTATATTGTTTAGGATATTTGGATGAAGGATATTAATTTTGGTTTGTGATCTGAGTTTAATGATGGTACTGGGCTTTGAGTTATGTTATGTTAACATTAAAACTATGTCGACAATGTCTTGATTATTTATTTTTCTATACATATAATGAATGGGATATGCACATTACCCAATTATTTTTGTAACAAACTTATACAATATTTTTCCTTGATGGGTGGTGGAATGTTGCTTGCTGGAATGATCACCCACACTTTTTCCTCCAAAAGTTTTGCCCAACACACTTAAAGCCAATGCTGTTGGTCCATAGCATTTTTTCCAATAGTGAATTTCATCCATAGATGTAGTCTGCGACATTAATTCAAGTTTCAAATCCTCTCTTCCAGAGAAAAAATCGAATAAAAATTTGGAGTAGTTTTTTTGGGATATTTTCACAAATTGCATTGACGTAAAGTAAAAATTACGCGAAAACTATTTGTTTGTTCAAACAATTTAATGATTTCAAATGACCTTCTTTAAAGATATATTTCTTTTATAGAAAATATTCCATTTAAGAAAAGAAAATCTTTCGTCAATATTGTACATGTGATGTGTTATTTTTTTTCAATATACGAAAATTCAGTCTCCACCGAAAATAGAACCAGCACTAATTTCTTTGCTATATATTCCTACACCCGAGGGAAAAAATTAAGACAAATGTGAAGCCGTTTTTGAGAAAATAATTTTTTGAAATATTGGCTAATTTTACGCAAAATTACCCGAAAACTACTCATTATTTCGAAAAGGCGTGCATGACCTTATTTCAAAGTCTAAATTACAGATTTTTATTAATGAAAAATGTAGATCGTCAATATTATAGTTGTAGGGAGATGCCAGAAACATTTATAGAAAATAAAAAAGAACTTTAAACAAATATTAGACCTATCCTATTTTTAAGAGTCCCTTTAAGATATCTCACGTTTTAAATATAAAATTCTGAGCCATTTTTTTAAAGAAAACTTTAAAAATATGTTTGAGGCCATATGTAAAGTATTCCCAAAAATTAAACTCCGTTTCAAATTTTCAAGATTTGGAGATCGCGCAGATCGATCGGAAATATCAATATTGTAAAAAATTGTCTGACTAATTATGCCGTCAATCAATTCGTCTTTATTAAGGACTCACAAAACGTGGATTCCGACTACACAACGTGCTAAATGAAGAAATTTACTATATATATATATATAGATGTGGTGGGACGATTCAATCTCAACGTTTAGCATACCAGGACCCCACAAGAAGACTTTTTGAGGAAAATCGCCGATTTTGGTCGCAGTATAATTTATTTTTTCTTTTTACTGAGGAAGAACGTAGTGGGGGAAGTAAAATAGGTTGACGGAAAAACGTTTGTCTGTGGTAAAAGCTCTCTCCAAAACCATTCAGATGACTTTTTCAAAATTGGTATTCCCCATTACTTTGGCCAATTTCGAAACCCTGGGAATTTGAAATAGATATTTTAATTTGGGGGGGGGGTACTTTATTAGGAGCCTTAAGAAATTTCTCAAAAATAGCTCCAAATTTCAAATAGACCCTGAATATGGCACAGGTCTAATTTTGTTGGACTCTGAATTATTCAAAAACTTTAAAAGTTGAAGTTATTTTCGCGCGTCATCCTTCAACTACAGTATTAAAGATGAAAATGTTTTTTTTAATGAATTGTGTTCTTCAAAGACAGATCTTTATCTAGGGCCATGTATAATTTATCGAAAACGTAAGTCTTTTTCGCGTAATTTTGCCTGAAATATAGGCAATTTTTAAAATGTTTTCTCTAGTTAAATATATTTTTTCTCAAAACGGTTCAATTTTTTTCTTATTTGTTTCTTAAATAGATAAAAGTACGCTTCTAAATAGGAGATAGAATTTATTCTATTAAAAACTGCAACAGATGGACGTGTATGTGGATTTTGTTCCAAAACCTAAAGCTGGCCGCTAGAAATTTCCTCCAGAGAGCAGCTAAACAGTATGTAGCAGTGCCTAAAATCCTGCCACCGTCGGAACTCGAACTTGCCAGTCAAAGGCGTTGCAGTGACATCAATCACATCACACCCTGAGCTACCTCAGCCGTTGCAAGCCTCTTTCGAGAGATGCCTGAAGCATTAGTAGGACAGAAGGAGCAATATAATATTAAGAATCGTTACCAAAAATACGGGGAAAAATATGCTGTTGATGCACTTCCAGTTTTAAATTGTTACGATTTCCTTCAAAATTACCCCAAGACTACTCTCATTTTGAAAAAGGTTGTTTAAGACATTTAAAAATCAAATTTCGGAAAACATTTCAACAAGAAAAATATATCTAAAATAATGTAATAAACTGTATCTATAATGATACATTTGAACTAGTGGGTCCAAAGAATTCTGAATTATGCACTTATTAAAAAATTCAACCATTTTAATTAAAATCGGTTCTCTGTTATTTTCATAAGCGTATTCGAGGAAAAGATTAAATATTAAAATTTGGAGCCTTTTTGACAATTTTTTGAAAAAGTCCTATGGACTTCAAGTAAACCAAACCCAAAAATTAAAACATCATTTGAAATTTGCAGATCGGTGACTGCGGCGAGGTTGATAATCCTATAAACGGTTTTGGCTTGTAAACGGTGTTGTCCACAGACGGACAGGCAGACGGACGGACAGACCTTTGCAACACGCTTTTGGTGTGAGGGAGCCCGGACGCGAATTTCTTTCGAACCTTGAGACCGAAGTTTGTCATATCGCAATACAGTTTTTATACTAGTATTCTATAAAGTAAAAATATTAATTAAATTATTTTAAATAAGAGAGAAATTAGATGACTTGTAGACCTATGAACGTAGTTAGAGAACAGGGAGCATACCTCGCCGTGATACCTTTCCGTGATGGTATTGAATCTTTATCACCTCCCAGAAAAACATGAAATTAACTGATTAGCTACAATGTGCGTCAAGAGATCCAACATTTATGTACAAGGCGGAAACACATAAGAACAACGAATAAATCTGCACAATGGCTCCTGTGCGACTCTTACTCGCTTCATAAATAGAAATTATCTCTGTGCTACAGGCATTGATTTGCATTTGCATTTAAAAATCATGTTTGGATAGAACATGACAACATATTAACAATTTTTTTTCAAGTTTAGTGAAAATACATTGATCATGAAAATATTTTACTATTATCTCTACCCTCCTAGGAAGTGAACATCAATATTACATTCATTGCATTCCCAGACAACTGTATAAAAACAATGCTTCATGAAAGTTTTATTTCGATTGTTCTTATGACTAGAAGCTCAATTGTTTCTCTTCTTGCCTTATTTAACTCAGGACGAGTCTTCCAGAACACATGTTTAGCCAATAATTACAAATCAGACATCCTTCTCATTCTTGTCATCTCATCCTACTCCGAATAAAAATAGATTTACTTGCAAAAAATTCCTCTAGTGCTTGAAAGCAGGAGAATAGAGAAAAGCCTCCCATTGTGTTAGATCTCGTGGGCAAGGCCAAATGTGGAAACAAAGAAAATTAAAGAATATTTTGTGTGTCAATATATCATCTATTTATACAATCTTTTGTCAAGAGATTGACTTGTGTATTGAAATGCTATTCTGCTATATTTGTATTGACAAGCATATTTTTAAAATGGGAGATATAAGCTATACAACTAGAAATATCAACATAAACTATTAAATGTTGTATAAAATATGTCCCTTCCAACTCTCTTTACTTTACGTATCAGAATTATGAATAACTGTAGCAAGACGAGTTGTTGGATACATTAGATAATTCGACATATTCGACCCCGCGTTCCATAAACCAGGGCTGCTTGAGTGGGCGGCCGACAGAGCGTGCTCTCGACCAGCGCTTATCTGCAGACCTCCGGTATTCTTCGGGCATATTTTATGGTATTGCCTGAGGCGTATGGAGTATTAGGTAGCAAAGGGACTCACAATTACCAGAGCGTAATAATTTGCGGATTTTTCTGAAATCATTCGTTTGATTGTCTTTGTAGCTGGAAGGAAGATCATTGTATAATGAAGTAATTTAAAGTTTCTTTCGACTAAATCATTTATGTAGATATTGCGTGCTCATAGAATTTAAGAGAACTTAAAACCTCTGAATGTAAATTCTCAAAAGTATTTAAAATTTTCTTGTGCTAAAACCTATCACAGTGATACTTGGTTTGGGTCGTTCTCGGTGACAGGACCAGCACGACGAGACGGCTGTGTCCGAAAATGCTCGTTCCATCACTGCCATTTTCGAGAACGATCCCGATACAAGGGGCGCACTCCGCGACACATTACGCGCCCCGCAAACATTACGCGACCTAAACTATTATTAAGCCTTGCTCAATTCGAAGACAAATATAATTTTTTTTATTTATTTATTTATTTATTTATTTATTTATTTATTTTTTTTTTTTGAGAATTACGAAAATGTTAAGGCTACCTTCAAAAATCAATATGTTTCAGATTTACAGGGCCTCGAGACCTGCCAGATCGATTGGACAAAGTAAATTAGACAGAAAATAGTCTGAACAGCTAGTGTTCACCACGGTTGGACAGACATATGGTTTGCCATTCACAATTTTCCGGTATCAAGGATCCCCAAAGCCTGGATTTTTCGAACGGAAAACTCTTATTGGATATCTCCGTGGTTATGGAAAATTGGATACATCGCGTTCCTTTACGTAGTAGTAAATTACTTTCTCTGGCACGTTGTATAGTAAGAATCCGTATTTTATGGGTCCTTGATACCAAAAACTTGATCGTTTTAAAGCGCTGAGAGCTATCTGATATAGTGAATATTCTCAGAGCTTTGCTAAACCAAAGTACGTGGATTCAAACCTAGCGTGGGCAACACGTTTGCGACTTGGAAATACTTTTGCAGATTCAAGTAGTAGTGCAATATTATAAAACCGTTTCAATTAATGTGAGAAGATACGTGCAGTAGAATCACTAGTTTCCTTTCAGTGTCCAATTAATATTAATTTCGCATGATAAGTGCGATACCACAGCAAAATGCTGCAACACGAAGTATATAACGCGTAAATGTGAGGTGGGTGGCGACGGGCAGGGAGTGACAACTAGTCAAAGGGTTCCATCTGTTGTAATGATTTTTTATTTTTATTTTTAGTCGCATCAACAGCGTAGTTATTAGCAAATTTCTGTTACAATTACAGTGCAGATGCAATGCAGTTACAATTACAATACAACAGTAGAAAAATTTAACAATAATATTTACAATCATCTTAGAGTCAATTCAACAATTACAACAATTCATTATAACAGTTACAGTTCATATGTAACCATTAGTCTTAAATGTCCAGAAATAATGGCTATACAAAATGATGATTATGTGATTATTTTTTCTTGGTCTTCTGATTCGTGGTTAAATCCAATTAATTCTCTTTGACTGTAATACCTGAGACAAACTTTGAAAATCTGATCTATATTTAGAGACGTATTGCATCAATCGCATGTGGGGGAAGATGATTTTGTGGTTAGATAGAGATGGTTTAATTTACAATGTCCTCTTCATATCCGTGAAAGGGCTACTTGCTCCCTCCGTCGGACATTTGTACGGGTAGTTAGTGCATACAAATTATTTATAGATTTATGGAGATTGCTGGAATGATGCTCAGTCGCCAACTGAGATTTGTTGACCTATATTGATTTTGTTTCATTTCCACAGATAATTGTTTTTATTAGAGATTTGATACACTTCTTTCTTCTCCTTTAATTTTGCATGCTTAATATTTGGCTAATATTTTAACATCATTTTGATATTACTTTCTTATAACAACATTACATTCAGTGATCTTCATTAAAACCCACTGTTGTTCTCACGCACGTGTAGAAAAAAGTCTAGGATGTATTTCTCCATAATATTACGACATATCTCAAGTGGAAAACATTCACGAAATATACACAACGAGTAGTATGAAGTCTGACTGAATTTAAAAGAATTCTGAACGCATTGCGTAATGAACTTAATTTTGTATTCAGTTCATTTAAATGTTAATGGCTCATCGTTCCTTTTCAATAGAGTACATAATTATTTATTTGAAATGGAAAACAGCATTGCAACCGTTTTCTTTTCAGTTATTATTAATTTGTTATTACGGGACCAATTAGAAACTTCTGCTATTGTACTATTTCCTGTTTGTTCATTGCCAAAGATATTCGTATCACTCACAAAGAGAACTGTTCTTCCGTTTCGAATCGTCGAGGGAAAATCGTTTACGTATAGTAGGAATAGAACAGGGCCTCAAATCGATCCCGGAAGGACTCCATGTGTAATTTGCAATGAATCAGCGGAAAGGTGTGCGTATATAATGTCCCATAATTCCGTATTTTCACTCTCTGATATCGTTGTTTAAGGTACCAACATAACCAATCTATAGTAATACAACGAATTCATATGAAGATAATTTTGATAATAAAATATTACGATCAATGATGTCAAAAGCTTTTCTAAGATCTAAAAATATTACAATGGGTGCTACGTTATTATTTCTATATTTTCTAAAATTTCTTAATTTTTACTTTCTCGCATATGCTGGAAAAAGTGACAAATGTTCGGCAAAAAACAAAACAAAACATTTTGTGGATCCTTGAAGTGGAGTTACCTGCTCATATATACAGAAAAATGCTTCTCAAATAGATAATGCAGAGAGAGTCGACGTCTTTTGGGTACGTGATACCAAAAGAGGGATTCCATCCATTCGTCTGCGAACAACTGTAGGTTCTTAACCATACACAGAATTTACCAAAATTGATTTTCTTCGAGTAATCTGGTATTGTCGCAGTCAGAGTTTTAAACAGACGTTTTGATTTTTGGATATACTTTACATGTTGCCCTAAGTCATTTTCGCTATTTCTCAAAAATGACTCCAATTTTTTGCTCTAATTCTTTTCTTCAAATAGAGCAAAGTATGCTGGTGCAAATTACGCGCATCCGATTTTCAGTAAAATCTCAAATTCTTCAATTTGTTTATTGAAGATAGAGATTTTTTAAATGAAATCTATTCTTGGAAATTCTTCTTCTTCAATGGCTTTGCAGTCCAACTTGAACCTTGGCCGAATATGTTTTCTCTATGTCTCCAGCTGCTCTTCTCTATACCCGTACTCCCAATAATACTCTTGTGTCCCTAGCCATGGCATCTAAGGATCTCACATTCCATGTACCAATAAAGAGTTCCATATTTCTTTGCCAAAGTCGTTTCCGATATGTGTTCCGATGCAAATCTTCTGGTTTGTGAACAATTATTTTTTACGGGAGTAGGTTGTTGGCCTATTGCCCAACCCTCCTTCCCCCGAGCTTAAGGAGGCAACGGCGGCGGCTGCTGGGCTTCTCGATCCACCCACGGCCCACCGCAGGCCGAGTTTCTTCGAAATTAGATTTTTAAATGTTATAACATACAGTTCCTTGAAAACATACCTCATGCGAAATTTGAAGTAAAATTGTCGCAGTTTGGAAAAAAAAGTGAAACAGATTTTCTCAGCAACGTCCCATTTTTCTCGTTTAAACACTAAAATTTGTTTAATAATATGTCTAATTTCTATTAAAACATCTGGACTTTTTTAATTTGTAAAAAGTCTAATTTTTTCAGAACAGTTAATGAAAACTATTCTTTAATATTCGATTTTTTATTATTTCAAAGTGCTCTTTTGGGTATGGTATACACCATTAAACCCTATGAACGTTCGAATGTTACATATATTCGAATATTGTAAATTCAAACATCCAGTTCTTTTTGCCGGAGTGCGATTTAGAGGTTTATGAAGAATTATCTACAATTTGTAATACTACAACATTACTTGACTGTTACGGATAAAACAAGAACGTGTATGATATTGTAGAACCACTAGTTACTTGTAACTAAATATATACTACACATTAATTTTTAAGTATAAGGCTCTACTTTACCATTCTATTCCTCTCAATTTATTACGACTTAACAAATCTATTTTATGAATTATAATTAGCAATTTTACATATCTTTTCTGCTCCAACCTTTGTCTCTATAATTACTATATCTAACCACATTTTCACCACCATCCTTTGTTTGCAATATTTTTCTCTTCTGAAAACCTTGTTTTCCAAAATGCATATCCGTTTAATACACTATACATACATTCTGACTCAGGAATAGCCACCAATATAGTATACAATGTCATTAATATGCCATGAAACCTAGCCATTCTACGATTCCGAACATATACATTACAATTATACATGTTCTTTTATTACCGCTGAAAGTGTTTTCCGTACATTCCCTACCTATCATGCATATGCATAATAAACATTTACACATAATAATCTCAGTGACATTGACTTATTTAATTCAGCATCTGTATACAATTTCACCATATCTAGCTACTGTTTAACTTAATTATTCCCACTCTTCTTCATTCATTTTTTACATCCAGATTCTTTTACACTGATCATCACACTGATTCACATTGATGAAAAATTGTCATCTTTTATTTTGGTTTATCGCTAGTCTGTTTAGTGCTATAATCACTCACTCTCTCTTTCTTTAATACTACCCTGCCTCTATAGCTTTTTTCCATCCACATAATTCATCTCGTATTGTCTACTAATATTTTCTTTCCTGTCTTGTACGCTAATTATTTTACCTTCTAGTTATTACGAATGTTCTCACTAAATCGTCCACATTACAATAAAAGAATGCTTTAACCACTGCATCCCTGAGCCTCATATGTACAAAAGCAAATTCTGGTTTGGGGTTGACGGGGGGAGCGTGGGGATTAAGGCGCGGAGGGGGGTTTGATTGCCCTGCTGGAAAAGTATTCACTTATCCCTGCCAGGGACTCAATCCATACGTGGGTGCCTCAGTTATAATTTTCACACCTTAAAATGTTCCAATAAATCTTGGAAAATAAACCTTTGCGAAGATGATTCTCAGTATTTATTGGTTCTGTGCGGCAATAAAGCGCTTTCTCAGGACGTTCTCGCGAGTTCCATTCACCGATTATTCTTGATTATCTTAAAATCGTATGAAGTATCTAGTGATAACCATTCTTTCAATAGCGTTGATACATTTTTAGTTGCCCCACTAAAGTTTGAACCATAGAAAATGTTCAAGTCCGTGCCATCGCATTAGGATTGAGACACGTGTCAAGTTTTGAAACGTGTGAGCTGACTGTTGGCGTCAGTCTTTTTTTGAGTTGTATCAGAAGCTTGAGTATCTCTGGAACTACCGACTAAATTGGTAAAAACAATACCAGAGAAACTGCTCTTTCATCTATAGCCAGTATTGAATAACATTATTTTGGGTTTGTCGTTTATTGAAAGTCTTAACAAATTAACCACCTCACTTTTCGTTCTACTGTTTTCTTCGACGTTCTACTGTTTTAGCCGATCAGTCCCATGAGCCGATCAGTCACCTTTCGCGAAGTCTTCGCTTCTCTCGTGAATTCGTCGTTTTGTCAACTCGTCCCCCTGGAGTTTTGAACGCTCCCCTCCCGACAAATTTGCCAACTCACGCTTTAAACTACTGTGTATAATGAACAAAATTTACTCCGTGTTATCCGGAAGAACTGGAGGTTTAAGGAAATTACATATGAAGATTTTGCTTAACTGTGTTTATTAGTATTTTCAACTATGAATGTAAAACTTAAATAAAATGTCTTACTTTTCTCTACACTACGACAAATCACGTTAATTACGAATCAGACAAGACTTTTCGCAACTTTGTATTTGCATTGCTATGAGTTTGCTCAGAATTAAATTTCATTATCAAATTATATAAGGAAGAAACGCATAGGAAAGAAAGAAGATATGGCGATAATGGCCTGTATTGAATATATTGGTTACAATAATATAATAATACTAATGAAAATAGTTAAAGTGGAAACACAATATCATTGTCATCTTTATGTTTATTATTGTATCTATTGTTATTTAAACTACTGTTCTACAACAGCACATATTTTTTCGCATTATTTCTAAATTTCCGTTTTCGAAAATTCAGAGAGTTCAACGAAAATAAATTCGTTTAGCGTCCTTTTTCCTATCCGTGAAAAAAAAATTGGAGATAAAATTTCGAGTTTTTGAGGAAAGGTTTTTTTCTATAAATTGCTTTTTGTAACTTATAAAATACCATGCCCGGAATGTTGTTTTAATTAATAGAGTTAATTTATTAAGAAAATATAATATGTTGTGGTTGTATTTTCTTTTGAAATCTAAGCATTTTGTTTTCGTTGGCTAGATTTTTATTAGGCCATTTTGTACAGAACTTTGTAATTGGAGTAATAATAAATATTTTACACTAGCTCTAGCATAATATCATGTCATAAAATAATATTTTTAATTGCCTTATGAAGGTCTTTGTGATATAATTCATAGCAACGAGAAGCAAGAGAACAGTCTTGAAATATACCATTTTATTTGCCGAAGAGGCACGGGCATAACTACATAATTTTTCTAGGGGGCAGCCCCTTTGTGATCGAAATCCGAAGTAGATAAAAAGTACATTTTGTTGAAAATCCTAATTACAGAATGCATTCTGAAATCTATGACTGCTTTCAGTCGAAGCAGAATGCAAAGTAACTAGAAAAATGATAAACGTTTATTGGTTCCAATTTTGTTCATCATGATTTAAAATTAGATAGAGAGATAATGATTAAAATGGATTTATTTTAATCGTTACAAAGACGTTAAGTACTTCCTCAGCTAACATTTTCTGCTTAACTAGTCCTAAATCTTTGTGCTCATCAGCCACGTTTTCCTAGGGGGTGATTAGGGGGGATTGATTAAGTTGTTCCAAAACATGTTCATGAGATCGTAGGCAGGTTGTACCTCTCTATAAGTCACATACAGTTTTTTACTCTTTTAAAAATAATTTTAAATAGGTCTAAATACTAAATGCCTTGTTCGTAGCGACGAAGTAGTGGAACAAGCTTCATTGTCTTTAGCTGCCACATTTTCATCTTTCACACTCGAATAATATTCTCAATCACAAATTACCAGCTGAGTTTAGTTCCAAGCATGGTCGCTGTCTCTGCAGCGACTTTCACCCGGAGGTTTTAGTGTTCGAGTTCCTTCGGGGGCAGATTTTATACAGCAAATCTGGAGGAAAATTCTAGCGTCCGGCTAGGTTGGTCTAATCGACAGTTTTCCATGGTTTATCCGAACGATACCAGGTGAATGCCAGAGCAGTATCCTACCAAAAGCACCAGCAGGGAGCGCGATGTTTCTTTCCTCTTCCTCGACCCCTCCTCTCTCCTCACACAATCGCGCTTACATTTACCTGCACTACCAAACATTACTGTACACTACCGTCGGATTAGCAGTCGGGAGCGTAGAGCTTGCCCGGGCTGGGGTGATGCCTTACTGGGGGAGATACCTGTACCTGAAGGCCGTACCATTTTCAACCTTTTCTCGTCAATGGCTCCACATTTTTTCATTTAATTTTCCTGCGAATAAAGTAAATTAGATTTCATAACGTCGCAGGTATAATTTTAAAAGAAATCTCTGAATTTTTTAAATCGCAAATATTCGGCGTCTTGCTACAACTTTACTTTTAAGTATAGAGATTTTTCTCTTAATGAAATCTGTTCTAAAATATTCAAAGACTTCATTAAGTAAGATCTTACGAAAGTTTTCGACAATTTTTAGACAAGACTCAATGCCTGCTTTTCTCAAAATCTTTCCGTATATGTAAAAAAATTGATTTTCGATAATTGCAAAATGTTTACATTGCAAATGTACAATATTGATGAAAGATACTTTTTCTTTATGAAATCTGGTTTAAAAAGTTAAAATCTTTAAATAAGGTCATGTAGAATTTTTGAGGGAAAACATTGTCAAAATGGGTCCAAAATGTTTGAATAAATTTTTCCTTGGGAAAGAATAGAGTACGCATAACAAAATGGCGCAGATCTCATGTTCGGCGAACTCTCTGTATTTTCGAAAATTTTAAACAACAAATTAACAGCTCATAACTACAATATTGATTATATGCGTTTTGCCCTTCTTAAAATAAGTCTTTAAAAGTAGATCTTGAAATAATGTGAATTAAAATCTCTGAAATTTCGCAAACAGCAAATGAAATGTTCAACGGTTTTTAAATCGCCGCGAAGGTTGAGGTTAGATGTAAGGCTGGTGGTGTAGGGGTAACGTAAATGGCGTGCTCGTACTGAGAACGTATTAGAATCTCGGCGCGGAGAAAACATTTTTGATGCTTGGAAACACTTTTGCAAGCCCATGTGCTATAATAATAGTGCGTAGCTGATACTAAGTATATGCTGTTGTATTACTATTTGTTTAAATCTTACTTTCATTTTTCCACTTTGTCGATAAGAAAATTGCATACTATATTTTTGGTAAATCTCGAAGTGAAACGTTTCATTTGCAATTCCTCTCATGAGTAAAGTTTAGTACATGCACTGCATTCTCATTTTGAATTTTATTTGGCTCGCGTGGAAACATTACGTTGCAAATATAACCAAAAGTAATTAATTTATTTTTATATTATATCGGGTAACATATTAAAGAAAAAAGTGTTAAAAACAAACTCTTAGTTGATGTGATAATTAAGAAACATATTGTTATTTTTTTAGTTATTCATTTTTTAAATGTAAACTGTTTTAATAAAAAGATTAATTGATTTTTTATTTTTACTAACTTAAATTAAATGTTAGTTAAACTATGTTTTCGCCTTAGAATAGTAAAAAAGTTTTAATTTTTCTAATACAAAACATGGAGTTTTACAAATGTTACGAATATTATTTTTATATTATAGTAAATAAATTATTAGAAAATATATTTTTTAATTTTATTTGTATTTCATTTTGACATACTATATATGTCTAAATCTAGGTTGAATTGATTGTAAAACCACTGTCAAAAGTAAATTAAAATGGTTTCAAGAAATGTATTTGTACAGACTTTAACAGTAAATGACATTGATTTTTAAATTGCACAATTCATACGCAAGATCATTTTTTAACATCTTGATGTAGACAAACACTTTAAGAGTAAGATATGAGCTGTAACGAAAATTATTCAATATCCCACTTGCACACTTATAGTGCAATTAAAAATTAGCAATTATAAAATTATTTTCAATTTCACAGAAATGAAAACTTTTTTATAAGGAAGCATCACGTCGGCTGGATATCACATTTACAGCACCCTCTTGGAAAATTCTGGTTGCGAAACTGTACAGAATGAAATAAGATTAGAGATGTATTTTAAGGGAATTTTTTAACAGAAAAGTTCTTCCAACATTAGTTTGTCAGCACTTCTTTGGCCACACCGAATGTTTTCAGCACAAATGAAATACAGTGACGGAAAGTCGGTGTGCAGAACGTACAGATCACAGAATGTGAAATGTTGTGATCCTCTCTCGTAGAACCTGTATATTCTATACATTGTTGACAAAAATCAACAAAAAAATATTATATCCACTCCTAAATTTTCTTTCTGTTACCGCTACCACAACTGTCTCCTCCATTTGTATCCCTCCACCTCCCGCAACTACTGCCGCCACAACCATTATTTCCATTCTTACCCTAGTGATCCAATTGTGTATACATTCCATTACGAGTATCTTAATGATATCTACCTCTGTAGTTACAGAATGTTTTCCCCACTTTTACTTGTAATATTTATGTCAGTTTCACTTTTATTACTTCTACTTCTACTATCGTGGCCACCACCTCAATCACTTTCTCCACTACCACTCCTACCGTCAGCACCCACTCCACCACCAATACTGCCGATTACTCCATCACCACCAGACTGCTCGCATCACCATCTCCATCACACCCACCAGCGACACCACACCACACTAACACTTCGGCCGATATGGCTCAGTGCAACAGCTGTTGTCATTGCAGCGTCTCTGTCCAGTAGGCCATAGGGTTTGAGTCGCGACGTTGGCGGGTTTTCGACCCTAACTATAGTACAAGGTCGATTTCAGCGGCTGTCTGGAGGAGAATGCGTGGTTTCGCTCGCTAGTTTCTCTTGTTTTCGTCTACCAGTACCGCGCGAATACCACATTCTTCTCCCCTCCTCAACCCTTACACCCACGTATACATATTTGCACTGCATTGCCACAAATGTCGGGAGACCACTCGTCAGCGTGGAGCTTATTCCAGGTGAGGCGGTTCCCTGCTGTGGGGGACACACGAAGGGGAACCCGAAGCTGACATGTAAGTCGGAGCCGGATCTCACGTTTAAGCGGAGGAGGAACATCGTCACACCCGCCTGTAACATGCACTACCCGTTACACTCGCGAGACTAATGATAAGAATGGCAGACGCAAAAACCACTCACTCATCATCTTCATCACTGTCATCTTCACTACCGCAGCAATAGCATCACACAGCCCATATCTACAATACATTTCTTTTTATTGTTTACAATTTCAAGAAAACTATGCTTAATAACTGTAAATGTCACTTTTTTATTTTGAAATTAAAAATCCACACCATTGCTTATTTTGGGATTCGCAATGGCAGATACGTTCTGTATCGATTTTACATCGCTGATGTTAGCAAAGGTTACTTAAAAGTTGGTTGTGTCATACTGCGTGATATTTGGAGTATTTGTATGAAGTTGATTTCGCAGTGTGAATATTAAATAAGTATATTTCAATATAAATAAATAGTTACTTTTGTAACCAATGCAGAAAGTGTCTTTGTCGAATTAATCAAATGTCTTTGGGACGAAGCGGAGAAGCATTTGAAATGAGTCAAAGGCGCTTTCGAACTCTCGAATGTGCGTTCCTTTTTTTAGTATGAATTCATGGAAACTCACAAGAAATACTCTTGTGATCATTAACAACATCCGAACGGCGGCTGTGCTTATTCTATTCGCCCTAGTATTTCATTTTGAATATCATATATAACTGTACGTGTACCACATAGTGCATCTCTCCAATGGATAAACAATAAACAGAACTAGTGGTTTCCATGCATGAGTGCTAAAAAATGTATTTCTGAACAGTTGTATTTGTTTGGTATAGCACAAATAGTTGGATTCAACTTCTTTTATTCTGACAATAACCCAATAGGCATTAATTGCAAATCACTTATAATGCATGTGAGGTGAAGGTAATTTGTAACCTCTTAGGTGGTGGTAACAGCAAGAATTTAAATCTACTCGGAGGACCCCAGCCTCCCACACTGAGGACCACCAATTCTTCTGGTGGAGGGCTTGTTGCGGTGAAACAAGAAGCAGCATCTGCAGCCGCAGGTGTGGCAGCGCCAACATCTGGTACTAGCGTTGACGGTGGAGGCATGGTGGCGGGCTGTTTTGTGGACAGTACCACGTTCTTGGGGGCCACCCCTTCACCTAATAGTACTACAGGCAACCAGCAGCAACAGCAGCAAAGGCTGACACACCACCATCCATCGCTGCAACCCACACACCAGTTGAGAGATGATGCTGCTCCTTCCGTCCATCCGAGTAAGGAACTTCGTAATGAGAGTAAGACCATACAATTTAGTACAGAATTTTGAGAACACGTTGAGATCGAATTACTGAGACGAATATTAATACATACGTACGAGTTATATAAAAGGTTGAAAGTATGGAAATCTTTCTATAGTGCCCCCTCTAGTTACTCCTTTATAAGGACATAATTAATTGACTTATAAACAATCACAAAGTAATAAACAACTAATGTTCTTGCAAAACCCTTGGGAGAAGGGTGAAAAATGGTTTGAAGAGTTGTAAAGAAAATACCCGCCCTAATGATATTACCGCATATTCGTATTACAAATGTGGGAAATGGACCTTTCGTGTCTTTTACTGCCGTTTGGTCTGAGAGGAAAGAATGTGGACTTCCTACCAGGATTCCCCTGATTTTTTTTTGTGGATAGTTTCCACCATTCTAATACAGAATGTAAGCTTTTTTACCTGCAAACTGCAATTTTAAAATACGGATTTTTAAAATACCGTTTCTTGACAATTATTAACTGTCTACGATCGTAGTGAAACAAAAAATATAGCTTCCTCCACGGTTGTCTTTTTAAAACTTTTAATATGGTGGGTATCGTTTAACTTGTTTCTGCAGAAATGGAAACATCGATTTGAATTTGGGCTGAAGTGTGTTCTTGGGGCCGCTTATTTCCTGTCTACTGTCCAATAAGGAGGCAATTCATTTGAATGGAAGTTAATCAAATTTTGATGATTCATTTTTAGCTTTTAGAGAAATAAAAAGAGACTATTGAATTTCTCATACTAGTCCTACTTAGTTTCCTAATCTCTTTAGTCTGAGTTAGTTTTTCGGTAGTATCTAACGATCTTACCAGCTGCTACCTATCGGCGCCTAAATATTTTTTCTTCACATTTTCTCAATTTTTCGGTCCCCTAATAGAATTGAAAAATTAATTCAAAAATATTATAAAAGAGTAAAACCCGATCCTACATGCACATTTTCATTTTAAAATTTGCAACCACGTTTCAAAAAAAACTTAAACGTTCCTAAAAATGCGTAATTTTGAGTTTTTCACAGAAAACTTTTGAGTTTTCGAGAAAATTCATGTGAAATAATTTTAAACATTTGTACTAGTATAGAGAAAGCATCGTCCAAAATGTGTTATTAATTGTCATAATGTAAACATACATTATAACTCGTTAGTTCTAAAAATACACTGGTCTTCAAAATAAAACTCGTCTGCAGCAAAAACCTTGTTGACTGCCCTTCGTAGGAAATTTTGCTGTGAATTTTAAAAAGGCAACCGTTTGTATTTATCACGATTTTTGTGACAGTTAAGCAAAAGTTTTACAATAATAGCATTTACACGAAAGTATTTAAATTAAGTAAGTAAGTATTTAAAGTATCAGAAAAGGATCTATTTAATTCGATTTGATTTATTTTTGGAGAAAATAAATTAAAATATGTATGTGATGTACGATATAATGGAGAAGTATATACTACGGACGTTTTATTAAGCTAATATGTTAGGAATATACATTTGACTTTTAATAGCATTCAATCTTCACGCTATTACAGCAATATTGATGAAAACGAAAGAGTACCGAACTAGCGCTCTTTTCGACTCCTGGTGCTCTCCCAGGTATTACACCATGTCACGCTCTTTGATCTATTACTGAATTTACTCTTTGGCTCTATGATGGAACTTAGGGCCTTCTGTGCGACAACTACTGGCTAGTGGGTCTACTCGGCGAGCACGACGCGGCACTTGAGGGGAACGCCAGTTTTCTGTCTTCGTCTGATACTAGCTGCAACTTAATTTTACGAATTTCGCGTGTTATTGAATGCATTATTTATGTTTGGGGAATTTATTTTCATTTTTTAATAATTAAAAATGAACATTTAACGAGTCCTTTGTATAGATCTGGCCGTTCAGAAAGGAAGTCCCTTTCTGTCTCTCACGGTGTGTGCATCTTCCCGGTAGCAGACAGTCTGCGAGCTTTGTGATTACGAGTGTGGGTGAAAGACGTTCATTATTGCAATATACACCATGATCGTGAAATTTTCGAAATGAAATAGTTTTATTTATGTAAAACGCGTCGCGATAGTAGTTTTTGTTGCAAAGTGCGATCACTGTATTTTCGAAACCAAGTTATTTTTGTTTTGTATACTTCCGCCAATTGTCTGAATGCATAACTAATACGAACACTGGAGTGGCCACTAGAAATTGAAGTCAGAAACACGTGCATGAGAGGTGAATATACGTGACGCGGACACTGCGCATAAAATTATGTAAATAATGTTTCAATATATACTTTTATTAAATTAAGTTTTCATATTTAACCTGAATTGCTTACGTTTAGTGTGCGGAATTTGGGATATTGCACTTCCGTGATTCGATGGAGCTGCCACCTAAAGTGTGTGTAGCGCCAG